AACCTGTAACCTGTAACCGCGAGACACCCTCACACAATCGTGAAGTTTGGGGTCGTATCTTAAGACGCCTTTCGCTAAACATGGGCGTTTCGCTCGGGACATCCTCCCAACATCGGGATCTCGAAATCTCTCGCCTAATTATCGGATCCTCGAAAACGGGCGTTTCGCCCGAGACATCCTCGAACATATGGGATGCCGACAGAGCTCTTGCAAGGCATCTTTTCGGAGCGATTTCGGTGACCCCCAAGATGGCCCAAGAAACGAAAATACTGAAGCACCCATCTGTTTTTAACACTTTCGTTGAACAATCAGCGTTTCGCTCGAGACGTCCTCCCCAATTTTCCTCTTCCTCCTCCTCTTCCTCCTCCTCGTTCAATTCTTCTTCTTCCTCCTCCTCCTCCTTGTCCTCTTCCTCATCTTCCTCCTCGTCCTCCTCGCCTTCTTCCTCCTCCTTCCTCCTCCTCCTCCTCCTCCTCGTCGGTCTTCTCCTCTTCCTCCTCTTCTTTCTCCTCCAACTCCTCCGCCTCGTCCTGTTCTTCCTCCTTTTCCCCCTCCTCCTGCTCCTGTTCCTCCTCTTCCTCGTCCTCCTCCCCCTCCTCCTCCTCCTCACCTCTTCTTCTGCTGCTGCTGCTGATGCTGCTCCTTCTCCTCCTCCTCCTCCCTCCTCCTCCTCCTCCTCCTCCTCCTCCTCCTCTCCTCCTCCTCCTTCCTCCCCCTCCTCCTCCTCCTCCTCCTCCTCCTCCGCCTCCTCCTCTCCCTTCTTCCCTGGTCGTCGTCTTCGCCGTCGTCTTCCTCATGCGGAGGAGTGGTGAGGATACTCAGGAATATGTTTGTGAACGTTCGGGGGGCGCGTGCGTCTGCGTCGGTGCCGGCCTGGTGTCAGCGTAAACTGTTGAGAACAGTTTCATGCATGAAATTTCCGTGTGCGAATGCGTTGGCGTCGGCGCTGGCTTTGGTTTCAGCGTAAGCCGTTCAGAAAAGTTTCATGCATGAAACCTTTCGCGTGCGCTTGCGTTGGCGTCGGAGCTGGCCTTGGTGTCAGCGTAGTGCGGCCAAACAAGTTTTGACGTATGACACTTTCGTGGGCGCTTGCGTTGTTGTCGGAGCTGGGCTTGGTGTCAGCGTCAGCCGTTCAGACAAGTTTCATGCATGTAACTTTCGTGTGTGCTTGCGTTTGGCTTCGGAGCTGGCCTTGGTCTCAGCTTCGGAGCTGGCCTTGGTGTCAGCGTACGATCTTCAGAAAAGTTTCATGCATGAGACTTTCGTGTGCGCTTGCCTTTAGACGTTCAGAAAAGTCTCGTGCATGAAACTGTCGTGTGCGCTTGCGTTGGCTTCGGAACTGGCCTTGGTACCAGCGTGAGCCGTTCAGAAAAGTTTCATGCATGAGACTTTCGTGTGCGCTTGCCTTTAGACGTTCAGAAAAGTCTCGTGCATGAAACTTTCGTGTGCGCTTGCGTTGGCTTCGGAACTGGCCTTGGTATCAGCGTGAGCCGTTCAGAACAGCTTACACTTGATCACCGCGATGCTGCAAGTTCTTGCGCAACTGTTCTCTTTCACGCGCTTCCCGTTCATGTCAGGAAAGGTTTCTAAATTGGCCGTATCGCTCGGGACATCCTCTAAAAATAGAGTTGGCGTTGGCTCCAGGCCGCCTTTGTGTTCAGATCGCTCTTGGAGCGGCCAAGAGGGTCTCTAGAAGGCCACAGGACGGCTCCAGAGGGCCCGCATGACGGCCACGGAGGCTTCCCAGAGCACTCCCAAGAGGGCCCACGACGCCAGAATCGTCCAATTCTTATGGGAAAGCGTACATTTTTTATCATATACGATTTTCTCGTCTTTACGGCGTCGAAGACGGGCCAAGAGTTCCCCCATGACCGCCCCGCGACGGCCCAAGAGACTCTCAAGAGGCGCCCAAGACGGCCGAAGAGGGCGACAAGACGGCCCAAGAGGCTCCCAAGAAGGCCCACGAGGGCCCCAAGAGGGAAAGCCCGAATCGAAATCGGAGCATCCCGCCCAAAGACGGCCCTAGGAGGCCCCAGGAGGCGCCCAAAAGGTCCCAAGAGGCCCCCGAGAGACCCCCAAGACGCCCCAAAAGGATCCAAAAGGCCCCCAAGAGGCCCAGCAGAGGCCCCAAGAGGACCCAAAACGGCCCGCGAGAAGCCTCCCAAGAGAGCCTAACGAATATTCACTTCGTCTCATTCTCAATACCCCGGCACGGTGGCGGATGGACCGAAGGTCACTAGATAATCCATCTCCTTTTCCCGAATTCGGGCTACACAGCCCCAAGACAGCTCAAGAGGGCCCGAAAACGGCGCCAGAGGGATCCAAGAGGGCTTAATGTTACAGGCCTCTTGGACCGTCTTGGGGTTATCTCCGGTCGTATTGAAAATCTAATGGGCCGTCTTGGAGCATCTTGGAGTGGCTGGAGACGGCCGGAGGCATCTTGGGCATTCCTGGGAGTGGTGAGGGATCTAGTCCGTTTAACCGGATTCCCCCCCCTGCAAGCCGGCCGGACCGAGTGCCCGAGTAATTCGACAATGGGTACTGTCACTTTGTTCGCACAAGCGTTCCAGTTTTGACGTCCCCATGCGATGCCACACCTGCAACGAACGTTCGAACATTCGCTTTACGTTCTTGTCAGGTCAGGTTTTGATGATGATGATGATAGATGACGGGGATTATGATGATGAGGATGGTTGTGATGATGCTGATGATTATGATGACGGTGGTGATGACGGTGATGCTGCTGACGACGCCGATGATGGTGGTGATGATGCTGCTGATGATGGTGATGGCGATGATGGTGATGCTGCTTGTGATGATGATGACGATGATGGTGATGATGATGTTGATGCTGATTATGATGATTTTGAAGATGATGCTTCTGATGATGATTATGACGGCACTGTTGCTTATGATGATGTTGATGATGCTGCTGCTGATGATGATGTTGTTGCTGCTGATGATGATGTTGATGCTGCTGCTGCTGATACTGATGATGCTTATGGTGACGATGCTGCGATACTGATGATGATGACGATGAGGATGATGATGGTGATGGTGATAATGATGATGATGGTGATGGTGATGGTGATGGTGATGGTGCTGGTGATGATGATGACGGTGATGATGCTGCTGCTGCTGATGCTGATTATGATGGTGGTGATGATGATGATGATGGTGATTGTGAGGGTAATGATGATGAGGATGATGATGATGCTGATGATGCTGCTGATGATGATAATGATGATGCTGATGATGATGCTACTGATGATGATGATGATGATGATTATGCTGCTGCTGATGATGATGATGATGATGATGCTGCTGATGCTGATGATGATGCTGATGCTGATGCCGATGATGCTGATGCTGATGCTGCTGCTGCTGCTGCTGATGATGATGATGATGATGGTGCTGATGATGCTGCTGCTGATGCTGATGATGATGGTGGTGATGATGCTGATGCTGATGATGATGATGCTGATGCTGGTGCTGGTGCCGATGCTGATGCTGATGCTGAGACTGATGCTGATGCTGCTGCTGCTGATGATGCTGCTGATGATGATGCTGATGATGATGATGATGATGATGATGGTGATGGCGATGATGGTTATGCTGCTTGTGATGATGATGACGATGATGATGGTGATGATGATGTTGATGCTGATTATGATGATGTTGATGATGATGCTTCTGATGATGATTATGACGGTACTGTTGATTATGATGATGCTGATGCTGCTGCTGCTGCTGATGATGTTGTTGTTGTTGCTGCTGATGATAAAGATGTTGATGCTGCTGCTGCTCATACTGATGATGCTTATGGTGACGATGCTGCGATACTGATGATGATGATGATGAGGATGATGATGGTGATGATGATGATGGTGATGGTGATGGTGATGGTGCTGGTGATTATGATGATGACGGTGATGATGCTGCTGTTGCTGCTGCTGCTGATGCTGATTATGATGCTGGTGATGATGATGATGCTGATGATGAAGATGATGATGATGATGATGATGATGATGATGATGATGATGATGATGATGATGGTGATGGTGATGCTGATGATGATGAGGGTGATGGTGAGGGTAATGATGATGAGGATGATGATGCTGATGATGATGCTGCTGCTGATGATGATACTGATGCTGATGATGTTGATGATGATGCTACTGATGATGATGATTATGCTGCTGCTGCTGCTGATGATGATGATGCTGCTGATGCTGCTGATGATGCTGATGCTGATGCCGATGATGATGATGATGATGATGATGATGATGATGATGATGATGATGATGATGATGATGATGATGATGATGATGATGATGCTGATGCTGATGCTGCTGCTGCTGCTGATGATGATGATGATGATGATGATGATGATGATGATGGTGCTGGTGCTGATGCTGCTGCTGATGCTGATGATGGTGATGATGATGATGATGATGATGATGATGATGATGCTGATGCTGATGATGATGCTGATGCTGGTGCTGGTGCTGATGCTGATGATGATGTTGATGCTGCTGCTGCTGATGATGATGATGATGATGATCATCATGATGATGATGATGATGATGATGATGATGATGATGATGATGATGACGATGATGCTGGTTCTGCTTATTCTGATCATGATGCCGATGATCATTATACGAGGGGGAGGAGGAGGAGGAGGAGGAGGAGGAGGAGGAGGAGGAGGAGGAGGAGGAGGAGAGGAGGAGAGGAAGGAAGAGGACGGAGGAGAGGAGGGAGGAGGAGGGAGGGAGGGGAGGGAGGGAGGGAGGGAGGGAGGGAGGAGGAGGAGGAGAGGAGGGATGAGGAGGGAAGAAGAAGAAGGAGCAGTTGGTTGGAGGAGGAGGAGGAGGAGTAGGAGAGGAGGAAGAGGATAAGCAGGTGGAGGAGAGGAGGAGGAGGAGGAGGAGGAGGAGGAGGAGGAGGAGGAGGAGAAGGTCGATCCTCCCCCCCGCCCTCCCCTGGGTGAAGCTCAGGTCAGCGGAAGTGGAACTGGGAGTCCGCGTCCGAGGAAACCAAGACGGAGTGGGGCATCGTGCTGAAGAGGCCGGCCGCGCAGCGGTGGTGAGGACGAGGGGGGGGGGAAGTAGGAGGGGGAGGAAGAGGAGGCGGGGAAGGAGGAGGAGGGGGAGGATGAGGAGGAGAAGGAAGAGGAGGAAGTGAGGTGGAGGTGGAGGTGGAGGAGAGGAGGGGAGGAGGAGGGAGGAGGAGGGAGGAGGAGGAGCAGTGGAGGAGGAGGGAGGGAGGAGGAGGAGGAGGAGGTGGAGGAGGAGGAGGAGGAGGAGGAGGAGGAGGAGGAGGAGGAGGAGGGCTCGCCGGCTGAGCGGGGGCCGCCTAGCTGGATGGCGGTGCTGGGGCGTGGCGCAGCTGCTCGCCAGCTTCGTCGCGGTGCCCCCGAAGCTCAGGGGAGAGTGTGGGCGGCACGCGCTCTGAGAGCCCAGCCGATCCGCATGAGGCAGAATCAAGAAGCAGGCGGCAGGCGGCGAACATCCCTGAGACATCATGAGACATCCATGAGACATCGATGAGACATGAGTGGGCATTGGCCTCCACGAGTGGTATCTAAGTGGGCGGCACGCGGGCCTGCTCGCCGCGCCAGGAGGGGGACTGAGGCTTCTCAGCTCGGTGCGCGGGAGCACCGTGGTGCTCCCGTGGTGGCGGCGCCAGTGGGACCTTCGGTGGAGCCCCCCTTATAGGGCCACGAAACGCTGTACTGGGTGGGCGAAACGCGGGGAGCAAGGGCTGTGCTGCGCGGTGGCGGACGCATGCGGGCGGTGCCGCTGGGACCTTCGGTGGGGCCCCCAATGGGGCCACGAAACGCTGTACTGGGTGGGCGAAACGCGGGGAGCAAGGGCTGTGCAGGGTGGTGGCGGACGCATGCGGGCGGTGCCACTGGGACCTTCGGTGGAGCTCCCTATGGGGCTACGAAACGCTGTACTGGGTGGGTGAAACGCAAGGAGCAAGGGGGAGGGAGAAGGGGAACGTCCTGGCGGACGAATGAAGGGGGCAGGAGAAGGGAAACGCCCTGCCAAAAGAGGCGCGCCCACGGCTCCAGCTGGCATCGGCGAGCCATCCAAGACTGCAAAAGTCAGCGGTTCCACGAAAGAGGGAGCAGGGAGGGAACTATTTTTTTGACGCGGGTCGTGCCACCCTAGCTCGCGCGCAAGGGCGTTCGAGCGATTTCGACATGCGCGCGCGCGAGGCCCTTTTCGTTGTATTTTCAAAGGATGTTGAAACGCGACACCGAAGGTTTTTGAAGGGTTTCGACATGCGCGCGACGACGCGCGCGTTTGCACTTCGTTTCATTTTTCCAAGGGATTCTTGAACGCTGGTGATTTTCGATAAACGTATGCGCGCATCGTATGTTTTGCAAAGGGTGGCGGGGGGGGGGGGGGGTCGAGCCTGGCTCGGTTTGGGCGGTGCGAACTCATATCCAGGATGGGCGATGGGTCAGCATCATAGGTAATTTGCAACACAAAAAGGCGTGCCGATAAAGCTGGGGGGGGTAGAGAAGGGGAGTCTACGCGGTGCAACCCACTTCGACTGTCTTGAAGCTGTCCTCTCCACTGCTCGTGCAAACATCCCACCCTCCCACCCGCAACTTGCACATCTTCAGACTACGACGGTGGATACCAAATGGCTCTTGGCGACGACAGCGACGCCGACGACGACAGCGACAACAACGACGACGAAAACGTCGCCGACGGCGACTACGACGACACCGGCGACGGCTCCGACGACTCCGACGACGACGACGACGACGACGACGGCGGCGACACCGAAGACGACAATGACGACGCCGACGACGACGACGACGACGCCGGCGACGATGACGACGCAGACGACGACGACGGCGACGACGATGCCGACGACGATGACGACGCCGACGACGACGACGGCGACGACGACGCCGACGACGATGACGACGACGACGACGGCGGCGACGCCGACGACGACAATGACGACGCCGACGGCGACGACGCCGACGCCGACGACGACGATGACGACGCCGACGACGACGACGGCGACGACGACGCCGTCGACGAGGACGACGACGACGACGCGGACGACGACGACGCGGACGACGACGACGCCGACGGCGACGACGACGACGCCGACGACGACGACGTCACTAACGAAGACGACGACGACGACGAGTGAGGAGGGAGGACGACGACGGCGACAACGACAACGACGAGGGAGGAGGGAGGACGGCGATGACGCGAACGACGAAGAAGGAGGGAGGACGGCGACGCCGACGACGACAACGACGAGAGAGGAGGGAAGACGACGACGACGACGACGACGGCGACGAAATAGGAGGGACGACGACGAGACGCCGACGACGGACGACGACGACGACGAGGGAGGAGGAGGAAGGACGACCACGGCGACAACGACGACGGAAACGACCACGACGCCAAAGAGGACGACAACGACGAACACGAGGAAAGACAGAGGACGACGTAGGCGACGACGACGACGACGACAACGACGCGGGAGGAGAGAGGACGGCGACGACGACGACGACGCAAGAGCGCGCGCGCGCTTTTGTTGAACATCCGTGTTGCGAAACCTTGTGTTTTTGTAGGTTTTTTTGGACACGCGATGTTGAACTCCTTCCGAAACCGATGGGTTTTGAAGGTTTTCGGCTTACGCGCGCGACGACGCGCGCGTCTGCACTTCGGCCCATTTTTTGCAGAGGGTTTCTCGCGACGGCACACGCGCAAGGGCGTTCGACAGATTTCGACATGAGCGCGCGCGAGGCCCGTTTGGTAGCATTTTGTGAAGATCTTGATAAACCTATGGCTTTCGCAAGATTTCGCAAGAGCTTTCGCGGAAGATTTTTTAGCAGCTCTGTGTTGCGAAACCCTGTGTTTTTGTATGTTTTTTTGGGAACTCGATTGCGAAATCCTTCCCGCACCGGATGTTTTGAAAGGATTTCGGCATGCGCGCGCGACCACGCGCGCGTGTGCACTTCGCCCCACTTTTTGCAAGGGATTCGCGAAAAAGTGTTATGTTAGAACAACAAATGTCACCGCATAGTGTTTTTTACAAGGGGATCTCAGGGGGGGATACCGATTTGGCTGGGATGATTTGATTTCATATTTAGGATGGACGAGTGTGCATAATATATATATATATATATATGAAACTATACTATCCCAGGGGGAAGCGTTAAGTCCGGGGGGGTAGAGTCTATTCTCTTTTTAGAAGGAGAATCTATTCAATGCAGTCTATACGGTGCAATTGATTTTAGCAAACGAGTTGACACATCTCGTGCTCTTGCAAGCATCCCACCCACCCACCCGCAACTTGGTTTGCAAAACCCAGAAGGTGGCGATTGCGATGCATGCTCGGCGTTGGCTGGTGCGTCTCTGCGGCCGCGCCAACCGCGCAGCGGCCAGCTGGTCTGGCCCGACCGACGCGGCCGCGGTGGCGCTGATCGTTGGGCACGTACCAGCGGGCAGTTCATTGCGAGTCGGCGACTTGGGCGGGCGCGGTATCATGGCAACGTCGACAACAGTAGACGTTGCGGGCGAGTCTCCAACGCCTTCGATGACGACGACAACGACGACGACGACAACGCCGACGACGACGACGACGACGCCGACGCTGACGACGACGACAACGACGACGTCAACGACGCCGACGACGACGACGACGACGGCGACGACGGCGGCGACGACGACGACGCCGACGTTGACGACGACGAAGACGACAACGACGCCGACGCCGACGACGACGACGAAGATGACGAGGGAGGAGGAAGGACGACCACGGCGACAACGACAACGGAAACGACCACGGCGCCAAGGAGGACGACGACGACGAACACGAAGAAAAACAGAGGACGACGTAGGCGACGACGGCGACGACGCGGGTGGAGGGAGGACGGCGACGACGACGACGACGACGACGACGCAAGAGCGCGCGCGCGCTTTTGTTGAACATCTGTGTTGCGAAGCCTTCTGTTTTTGTAGGTTTTTTTTGGACACGCGATGTTGAACTCCTTCCGGGGCCGATGGGTTTTGAAGGATTTGTGCATGCGCGCGCGACGACGCGCGCGTCTGCACTTCGTCCCGTTTTTTGCAGAGGATTCTCGCGACGGCACACGCGCGGGGGCGTTCGACAGATTTCGACATGCGCGCGCGCGCGACGCCCGTTTGGTATCATTTTGTAAAAATCTTGAGAAACCCATGGTTTTCTCAAGATTTTGCAAGAGTATATATATATATACATATATATATATATATATATATATATATATATATATATATAACACAAAACAGTGTTGCGAAACCGTTTTTTTGGTATTCAAGAAATATTTTAAAACATGTTTTTTTTGGAAGGTATATTATTGTTGGTAAGGTTTTTTTTGGGATTTCGGCATGCGCGCGCGCGACGGCGCGCGCGTGCACTTCGTCTGGTTTTTCTTGTGCAAGGGATTTGTGAACAAGTGTTGTGTTAGAACAACAAATGTCCCCGCGTATTGTTTTTTACAAGGGTACCTCAGAGGGGGTCGATGCCGGCTCCCCGGGGATAGTGTACATACATATTGAGGATGGACATGTCGCCCGAATCATATATGATTTACGCACCCGAAAAGGGGGGGCGATGACGCCGAGTGGGGGTAGAGTCTTTTTTTTAGACAGGCAAATTTACGTTTCGCTACTTATGCGGTGCAGTCGATTTCGCAAACGAGTTGGCGCATCCCATGCTCTTGCAGACATCCCGCCCGCCCACCCGCAACTTCGTTTGCTAAACACATGCGGTGGCGATTGCGACGAGCGCTCGGCATTGGCTGATGGATATCTGCAGTCGCGCCAACCCGAGCGCGCGCGCAGCAGACAGCTCGTTTGGCGCGACCGACGCGGCCGCGGCGGCGCTGACCGCTGGGCGCGTCCGCGCGTCCCAGCGGGCACTTCAGTGCGAGTCGGCGACTTGGGCGGGCGCGGTATCATGGCGACGTCGGCGACGGTAGACGCGATGATGATAATAGCGATGCTGGTGATGAGGTCGACAACGACGACGGCGCGGCCAGTTCGGGCGGCGATGCTCATCGCGCCGACGACGACGCTGACGGCGCCCTCGCGTCGGTGATGAGAGTTTTGTAACGTAACGAGTTCGAGGCGCGCGCGGCCCACCCGCGACAGGGGCCCGCGTGGTGTTATTTGACGCGGATCGTGCCCCTCCCCGGCGCGCGCGCAAGGGCGTTCGAATGATTTCGGCATTCGGCGCCCGAGGCCCGTTTGGCAGAATTTCTATGAACATGTGGACAAACCGATGGTCTTCTCACGAATTCGCAAGAGCGCGCGGAACCGTTAACAACCTGTTGAAATCGCTGCGGAACCATAAGCTTCTGACGGATTCGGCATGCGCGCGCGACGACGCGCGCGTGCACTTCGCCCTGCTTTTTGCCAAGGATTCTCGCGACGGCACGCGCGCAAGGGTGTTCGAATGATTTCGGCATGCGCGCGCGCGAAGCCCGTTTGGTAGCATTTTCGGAAAGATGATGGACACTTGTTGGTTTCCTCAGAACTCGCAAGGTCGCGCGCAAACTTGTTTTGAGCATCCGTGTTGCGAAGCCCTACGTTTTTATATGTTTTTTTGGGCTCAATTCTAACATCCATGCGACACGTACGGTTCTTGAAGGATTTCGGCATACGCGCGCGACCAGACGCGCGTGTGCACTTCGATTTTTTTGCAAGGCGTTCTTGTTTGAAGACCGAAAACGGGTGCGCGAACGTCGTATTTTTTTGCAGAGGACGGCGGGGGGGGCGGATACCAGTCCCCCGTGGGACGGTGTGGATTCGGACGATGGGGCAAAACCAAACGTAAATTGCAATGCGAAAAGAAGAACCGATAATATTTTTTGTGGATCGTAGAAACTGTTTTCCTTTTTAGACAAGAAATGAAGAGAAACGATGCGACGGCGACGGCGGCGACGGGCGGCACCGGGTGCAAAAACCGCCACTCGCCCCGAGCGGCGGCGACGGCGACGGGCGGCGACGGCGACGGCGACGGCGACGGCGGCGACGGGCGGCACCTCCCGCAAAAACTGCCCATGGTCCCGAGATGGTTAAGCCCAGTAAGAAACGCTAAATGCAAACCTTGTTTAGGGAATTGTGAGAATAACATTGAGAATATCAGTAATGTTAATATTAACAAACGTAATAATCGCACAATGACAACAATAACCACAGGAATAAAACAACTACTCGTAATATCAGTATCATCATCATGCTGACAATCATAAACAGTATGGGTGGTAGTAAGAATGTGTATGATAGGCGCATCACTAATAATATCATTAATATTATTAGTAAGGTATTACGAGTATTGGACAATTAAAAACTGCGAATCATATCAATATCAAAAAACAGCAGTCCTATGATAAGGTGTACTAATGATTATAGTAAGAAGAACAAGAGGCGAAGGAGGAGGAGGAACATGAGGAGGAGGGGGAGGAGGAGGAGGAGGAGGAAGAGGAGGAGGAGGAGGAGGAGGATATGCCCTCCTCCTCGTCCTCGTCCTCCTCGTCCTCCTCCACCACCGGCCGAAAATCGAAAGACTCCTCGCGAGATACGTCATGTTCGACATGAACCTGCTGGAGCTCGAGCACCGCTGGGACCTGGCCATGCCTTCGGCCGCCGCTGGTGCCGGCCCAGGCGCTGCGGGCGCCGCCGACGAGCAGCTGGAGAAAGTCCAGGCGCCGCCTTCCTCGGCCTCGGGGGCCCTGTCTAGCAGAGGGCGTCCCGCAGCAGGAGGTGCGCGACTTCGGACGGGGCTAGGCCGAGGACAAGTCCGTTCGGGAGCAGCCCTGCTTCAGAAAAGCCGATCGAACATTACTCGTCAAACTGGCCTGAGGAGAATGTTCTCGGACGGTGCTAGGACGAGGACAAGTCCGTTCCGGAACGCTCTGAGAAGGCCGCGGCGCCCGATACTTTCTGCAGAGCCGCCGGATCTCAGAGATTCTCGATTTATCTTCGTCCTGTCTTCGTTTTATGTCTGGCCGCAAGGGACTTTTTTTCAGTCAGTGTGGGGAGGGGCTCTGTCTACTAGAGGTCGCTCTGCAGCAGGAGGAGGAGGAGGAGGAACACCTCTAGCACTGAGAAGTTTTTTGTTTTTTCTTTGTTCAGCCAGCTTTTGGTCGGGGAGGGGCCTTGTCCAGGGGAGGGCGCCGTGCAGGAGGAGGGGCACCTGGCTCCAAGGCTCCTCCTGGCCTCGTCGCCTTTGAAGCCCCCTCGCATCGTGGACAAACTCCCGACGGGAGTTTTTTGAACGTTTTCGGCGCTTTGGGGGGCCGTTAAAGAATGGCTCGGGATGAAGAATCGGTCCCTGTCCAGACCTCTGGGGGGGGCCACGTCGCGAGCAAACCACGACGTCGGGGGTCTGTGTCCGACGGGTCCGAGGTTTTCGGACGCATTCGGATACCCTGGCTCCTGTTGCTCCTCCTCTTCTCCCCTGGCTGCTGTTCCTCATCGTCTTCTCCTCCCCCTGCTGTTGCTGCCTCCCTCCTCCGCTTCTCCCTGCGAGGGGGGACGGGGGGTGCTGGAGGTTCCACAGGCACTGCCTTCCTCACGGCCGAGACTGGGGGGGCTGCCGCGGTGGGCGGTGGGGAGGGTGTGGCGAAACCACAATGGCCGATCATATGATTGATGAGCTTCCTCCCAAAAAGCCGGGCCAGCGTATCATAACCAACTTGCCGGAAAGCTGGCCCAGTTTCTTAGGCACGTTCGCCCACCAGCGTGAACACCAGACATTGGCACAGGTTTGTTTAAAGAAACTTTCGCAGAGCTGGCCCAGGTTTCTTCCATTCCGATATTCTTGACCGTTTGTTCTGATGTACTATTACTGCTGCTGCGGCCGGTTCTGACGTTGACAAGTCACGCTCGTCGGCCTGGCTTCCCCAGAGGAAGTAACTGCTGGCGGGGCCGCCGACTACAACGGCGGGCCCTTCCTGAGGAGAGGAGGCGCAAACAGCAGGCAAGGGCGGCCGCCGGTCTGGATGAGAGACGGGGTTCGGTGGCATGGGGGAGCGGGAGACGGGGGTCGCTCGGCGTCGTTGGTGCTCGTGGTCGGCATCGTTATGGCCGTCGTGGTGGTGCCCGCTGCGCTGGGGCCCCCGGGGAAAGCCCTGGGCTCCAGGACCCGTTTCCGCCAGGGCCCCCTTCCTTCGCTCCAGCCTCGAGCAGAAAGCTCGGTGGGCGGCGCCGCGGGCCCCACCGCGCCACCCTCTCCACCGGTCGTCTTTCGGAGGGCCCTGGTGCCGATGCGCCAGGCCAAGGTCGCGAAGCTGCACGACAACCTCGAGAAGGCGGTGCTCGACCAGAACACGAGCGACAGCACCGCCGAGGACATGCAGAGGGACATCAGGACGAACCACCTGACCAAGGTGCGCCGCCAGTCTGGGCCGTGCGGGCCGCTCCCGAGGGCGCGGGGAGAAGCGGGTGATGGAGGGGGGAGCGAGGCAGGGGGGCGGGGGGGGCTCCTACCGCCGTTCTTCCACCATTCCCCACTTCCGTCTTCTTATCATTTTCCTCCTCCTCCTTCTTCTCCATCCGCCTTCTCTCCTCCTCCTCCTCCTCCTCCTCCTCCTCCTCCTCCTCCTCCTCCCTCTCCTCCTCCTCCTCCTCCTCCTCCTCCTCCTCCTCCTCCTCCTCCAACTTCTCCTCCTCCTCCTCCTCCTCCTCCTCCTCCTCCTCCTCGTCCTCCTGCTCCTCCTCCTCCTCCTCCTGCTGCTCCGCCTCCCCATACCCATCGTCGTCCCCTCCCAGTTTCTCCTTGTACCCTCTGCTGCTCCCTCCGCTGCCGCCTCAGCCTCCGCTGCCGCCTCACGCTCCCGCCTCCGCTCCCGCTGCGTGCGCTCACGCTTCTCGCTCTGCCCCTCCCCCGCTCCCCCCCCTCCGCTCCCGCTCCCCGCTGCCTCGGCGGAGGCGAGGGAGGCACCGCATTCGGGCGAGATCCACCGGGGAGAGTGCAGAGTCGTGAGCCGCCTCGCTACGCTGATGGGAATTCCTGCGCCATTAAGCCCGATGGCCCCCCCGCAGGGGGCGCCCGCAGATATCGACCGTCCACGTTCCCCCAGTCCATCGGAAAGTCCGTCGGTGCGTCACCGCCTGCACGCCGAGCTCTCGCCGCCCTTCCGACACGTGATCGTTTTTTTATTCATTGCGTTACCGATCGGCGCGGGCCCCCTCCCCCCCCCTCCCCCCCCCCATGGAGTAGATCTTGGCTGTTTTTTGGCGCCTGCTTCGAGCGGGTGGAGTCTCCCCCAGAGGCCACACTCGTGCAAGCAGTCGCGCTCAGCAGAGGCCTGGAGCCAGACCCCCCCCCTCCCTCCCCTTGCCGCCAAATGTCGAAACGCCGAGTAAAGAAAAACGCTCACCACCAGAAACGCGTCGCCCGCGTCTCGGCGATGCATCGCGGCAGCCTCGGGCGACCTGCCCGGGGCCAGGGCTGCGACTTCGGGCCGCTCAGGAGGTTCCGGGCTGTCCAGCACCAGTGGCCCTCCCTTCGTCGCCGCTGCGGCCGCTCTTATCGCGTCGTCGTCGTCGTCGTCGTCGTCGTCGTCGTCGCACGCCCCTTCGCCTCCTCCTCTCCCGTTGCCGTGCCCCCAAGGAGCAGAAGCGCACCCTTCGGGAGGAACACCAGCGTGAGAGGTGCGCCTGGGACGTGGGAGCACGAGGGGGGGGGCGAGGCTCGGATGTTCCGGGAGCTCCCTGGGCGGTTTCTGAACGTTTTTGGATGCTCCCAGCGGTCTGCGAAGGAGGAGGGTGAACGAGCAGGAGGAGGAGCAGGGTTACTCTGGGATGTGCGGACAGCCCTGCTTCAGAAAGCTGACCGAACTTTTTTCGTCGAACTGGCCTGAGGAGAATGCTCTCGGACGGGGCTAGGACGAGGATGAATCCGTTCCAGAGCGTCCCGGAACGCTCTCAGAGCGTTCCGGAACGCTCTTGGACGGCCGCGGCGCCCGAGACATCCTCCAGAGCCGCCGGATCTCAGAGATTCTCGATTCATCCCCACCCGATTTTGCCCTCGTCCTGGCTTCCTTCGCCTTGCGTCCTGACGGCCTGGTCGCTCCGCGGAGGACGAGCCGCGGGCACGGCAAGCGGACGGCCTGGGCACGCGGCGCAGCTTTGGCGCCGCGGGCTGGCGCGCGGCCTGCGGCAGCGGGGCCACAGCCTGCACGGACACGGGCGGGTCAGCTGCCCGTGTGGGGTCACGCTGATGTCGGGCATGTCCCTCTACAGGAGGACTATTCAAAACTAGTGGAAAATTGTCAGGGGACGATTTTTTCTCTAGTGTTGGACTTTTTTTTGATATTTTTCGACTTTATTATATTTTTCGTTCAAAATCCGCCTGTAGGAGGACACGCCCGACCTGAGGTCACGCGCAGGCGCTCGCTTTCACCCGCGGCGTGCCGCGCTGGCGTCTTGCGTGAGCCGCAGAGGAGGAATAAGTGCCCCTTTCTCGGCCTCCCGGGAGGCCCTCGTCGCCACCGCCGGATTCGCCGCGAAGTTCTGGTCAGCGCGCACCCCGGGACAGGCTGGGGGAGTTGGTCAGGAGGGGAAAAAACACACAGACACAATTAATCGTCGACTCCCAGGAAAATATGGGAAAATATGGGAAGTGTGTGGGGGGGAAGACAAAAACCCAGAAAACGTGGGAAAACATGAGGCATCCTGTTATCTGTGTGTAGTTGTTTGTGTGTCCTTGGGTCCCTTCAGTTGGCGGCGGTATCGGTACCTTTGGGTTCCCCTGGCGCTGAGCGCTGGCAGCCTGCGTGAGCCACTGCTCGGGGGCCCCCAAACGGGGTGGTGACCACACCGTGCGGTGAGTCGGTGGGGATTCGGGGTCACCGCACGGTTTCGGGACTCGGGTCGCCCTCCGAGGACGTCTCGGGCGACGGGGGCCTCCGGGGGTCCCAGGGCCGTGCGGTGACGGACCGTGCGGTGAGGTCTTGTGGACTTCGAGGTCACCGCACCGCTTCGGGACCCCAAAACTGCGTGGGGTCGCCGTGCCGTCTCCTTTTGCCACCTCCCTGCCGCACACGCCGGGCTCGGTGCCCCAAGGCCGCCTGCGCTCCCCTCTCCCGCCGAGTCTCGGCGGTCGGGCCTTGTCGCTCTTCGGGGGTAAGAAACCTCCTCCTCCTTCTCCTCCTCTTTCTCCTCCTCTTCGTCTTCCTCCTCCTCCTCTTCGTCGTCGTCCTCCTCCTCCTCCTCCTCTTCGACTTCCTCCCCCTCCTGCTCTTCCTCCTCATCCTGCTCCTCCTCCTCCTCTTCGTCTTCCTCCCCCTCATCCTGCACCTCCTTCCTCCCCCTCATCCTGCACCACCTCCTCCTCCTCCTCCGCCTCCTCCTCCTCCTCCCCGCGTCCCACTCCCGGCGCGACACGCCGGAAGCGACATCTGCGCTTGCGACCGCTGGCGCTGCGCCGATGGTAAAGTGCCAGCACGCGCGATACCCCTTTCGTGCTTTCGCTCGGGTGTAGTCGAGGTGAGTTTTCAGGCGGGCCCAGGCTTTTGGTGCCCTGAGACGATCAGGGCAGCGCCGGGCGATGATTGAGGGACACAGAAGGCATACGCAAAACTTTTGGAGTTCCGCGCGGATTTCTCGGAGCGGCGCGGGATCCCCTGGCGGCGCCTCTGGCCCGCTCCGCACGCCAGGGAGGGGGGTCCAGAACCGATCCAAGACCTCCGCGCGGAGCTCCGAAAGTTATGTTCATTCCATATTTGCTCCCTCGAGATGACCTGGGTGATCGGGGCCGCCCCCACCACCCCTCCAGGCAGTCTCACCTTGTCGCCCGTGCACGTGCATGTGCGGAGGGTGTGTGGCGGGGTTTGGGGCGAGGCAAGCTTCCGTGGTGGTGGCGCTCACAGGGGCTGGTTTTCATGAGCCTTCCTTCATCCTCTCGCGATAATCTAGGCCTCTCACATGGGATCCGAGTAGATTGGGGCGGATGATCGTGCCGCATCGCGGATGCATCGCCGATGCGGCTCGACGTTGAGCCCGATTTTCTCCACGCCGACGGCGCCGACGCATCGGCGATGCGGTGCGATATTCCGACCCCACCAGCTCGGACCTCACTTGGGGGGCAATCAGATAACGGCCGTTACCAGGGGGCGGGGAGGGGGTGGACGGGGCAAGCAACGCCACGATTCGCGCCGTCGCCGCGCTGGGAACCAGCAGCCCCTAGCCATTTGCAGATGTCTTCGGCACGAATCGTGTCGTTACCAGAGGGTGGGGGGGATGGGGTGGATTTTGCCTGGGCGGCGTTGACGGGTTCCGCAGAGCCGCCTGCGGAGGGCCCGCGGCCAGGGGGGCAGCCCCTGCCGAGCCCGCTGGCGCTGCCGCCGCCGCCGCCTGCGCCGCCCGCACCTCCTCGTCCTCGCTCTCCATGTGTAGTGGCTGTAGCTGCAGCTGCTGGCGCCGCCGGTCGCCGCCTCCAGGCGGCACGCTGCTGCTGGCGGGGCATCTGGAGGCCCAGCGGCCGGCGGGGCGGCGAGAGGATCGCCTTCGCGGCGGGTGGGCGGTTCGCGGCGCCCTGCTCGCTCCGCTTTCCCCGGTCGGGAGCGCCCCGCCGGGGAGCCTTGCGCGCCGGGCTGCGGCTGCGGCTGCGGCGCCGTCCGTGGCGGCGGCTCCAGCTGCGGTACGTCCGCCGCTGCCTCCGCTGGCTGGGGCTCCCCGTCGCCGGACCGCCGCGCGGCCGAGCACCCGTCGCCTCCGAGGCGGGTGCGCCCCCCCATGCGGCGCGCTCGGCTGCCCAGGCCGCAGCTGCCGCCTCTCGGGGGAGGCGCTGCCGTGCAGAGGCCCAGCGGGGGCCGCCCGCGCGGCCTCGCCTGCGCCTGCGCTGCGGCCCCGCTCTCCGGGTGCAAGGGAGTTGCCGAACTGGGCGGCGCTGACATGCCACCCCCGGCTGGCCGGCAGACGCGAGAGGCAGACCCACATCCGCCCACCGTGCGCCGCCTGCGCCCGGACTGGCCGCGACGCCCCGCCTGCGCTGCGCGCTTTGGGTGGCTCGAGCCCGCCCTTCGGTTGCGTCCAAATTCCGAGCCCCAGAGCGAGGGTTTGGAACTCGAGCCAAAATGGCTTGAGCCAACATGGCTACGGAAAATTGTATGTTCATGCTTGTGCCGTGATTTCTTTTTTTCCCAAGCGTTCCACAGCCACGCACGCAACAACGCACACGCACGCGCAGACTCAACACGCAGACGCAACACGCACACGCACACGCACACGCACACGCACACGCACACGCACACGCACGCAGGCACGCACGCACGCACACGCACACGCACACGCACACGCACGCGCACACGCACATGCACACGCACACGCACACACATGCACACACAAGCACAAGCACTAGCACAAACACACAGCACAGCACAACACAACACAGCATAGCGCAACGCAACGCAGCGCAACACACCACACCACACCACAACACAACATAACTCAACACAACACAACAGAGCACGACACAATACAACACAACACAACACAGTGCACATACGCACAACACACAACACACAACACATACAACACACAACACACAGCACACATACACGCACTGGCGCCAACCAGTGCCGCTGCTGCTGCCGTGCCGGGGAGGTTCGGCTTCTTCGCCGTCGAGGCCTCGGCGCAGGACGTCTTGTCCCAGGCGGGGCCGCCGCCTCTCCAGCTCCCTCCCTGAACCTCCTCCTCCTCCTCCTCCTCCTCCTCCTCTCCTCCTCGTGTTCCTCGTCCTCTCTTCCCTCTCCTCCTCCTCCTCCTCCTCCTCTCCCCCCTCCTCCCCCTCCCTCTCCTCCTCCTCCTCCTCCTCCTCCTCCTCCTCCTCCTCCTCCTCCTCCTCCTCCTCCTCCTCCTCCTCCTCTCCTCCCCTCCTCCTCCTCCTCCCCCTCCTCCCTCCTCCTCCTCCTCCTCCTCCCTCCTCCTCCTCCTCCTCCTCCTCCTCCTCCTCCTCCTCCTTCTCTCCTCCTCCTCCTCCTCCTCCCTCCTCCTCCTCCTCCTCCTCCTCCTCCTCCTCCTCCTCCTCCTCCTCCTCCTCCCCTCCCCCCTTTCTCCTTTCCTCCTCCTCCTTCCTTCCTCCTCCTCCCTCCTCCTCCTCCTCCTCCTCCTCCTCCTCCTCCTCCTCCCTGCCTCCTCCCTCCTCCCTCTTCTCTCCTCCTCCTCCCTCCTCCTCCTCCTCCTCCTGTTCTCCTCCTCCTCCTCCTCGTGCTCCTCGTCTTCAGAAACTGTGCAATTCTGAACAGTACCTTCCTCTCTGTCCCAACTACGTGCTGAAAGTATCCCGCCCTCTCCGCATACTAGTTGTCACACATGAACGGAAACTTTGATTTGTTCGATCTTATTCCATCGGACCGCTTCGGTGCTTCGAGATGATGCTCCCGCTACCTCGCTTGCCTCATTTTAGGATGGGCGCTTTGTTCCCGTCGTTATGAATGGCGCTCTCGCCCCAGCGCCGGCCACTTTCCTGGAACCGAATCCTTCCTCATCGTTGTCTTCCTGCTCCTCCTCCCGCCTCCACCTTCACCTTGTCCTCCTGCCCTTCCCGCTCCTCCCACCCCTGCTCTTGCTGCTGCTGTTCCTCCTCGTCCTCCTCCCCTCCTCTTCCTCCTTCTCCCCCTCCTTCTCTTCCAATGTACACAGCTTTTCTTTTATACATTCGCATGACACGATTGTGTCCTCTTGGGGTTTGGGGGTCCGCTATGATATCCGTCGGCGGATAGAGATAAATCAGCACAATGGGAATGCATGGGTGGGAGGGGTAGGATGCCAGATATGGCTCGAGCGAACCTTGTCATCCTCCGCCTCTCTTCTCCAACTCCCTCCAAGGTCAAACGCCTTGAACAAGCCAAGGATGAGGATCAGGTCCAACTCGCGAAGCCCCCTTCGTCCTCCTCTCCTCCTCTTCCTCGCCCTCCGCTCTCCCCTGCCCCTCCCTCCCTCCCTTCCCTCCCCCTCCCTCCCCCTGCGAGCGACTGCGATCTGCGGCCTGGATCCTTGCGCCCTGATTCAAGGGAAGAAAAAACACCCGGACCCGATAATTGGTATTAACTAAATGGCCCTGAGAGTTTACAAAGCAGCCCTGCCCTGCCCGGTTCCTTCTCTGGGTGCGTTCACCAAACGGCTTCGCTTGCCGGGGTGGTTATTATTGGCCCTCTGCTGATGAGACCAACCCGAACCCGAAGCAGCACAACCCGTCCTCTTCCTCGCCCTGGCGCCCCTGCCGCCTCCTCACACGATTCTCGCATGGCTATGCTTCGCTACCCACGCTTCTCGGCGGTGGCCGGACTTCGCCGCGCACCCTTCTCGCAGAGGCCCTCCTTCGCCCCACCGCAGAACTCCGGACGCGCTGCCCACCCTCCACCCTGGACACCATCGCATTGCTTATAGCCGATGCCCAGGGCCAGTTTCTCGATGCCTTCCCTCCATTTTCTCTCCTCCCCTGTGATGGGCTTGTTTTTCACCTCCACCACCATAAGGTGGAGGGGGAGGGGGTCCTCCTCCTCCTCCTCCTCCTCCTCCTCCTCCTCCTCCTCCTCGTCCTCCTCGTCGTCCTCCACCTCCTTCCCCCCTCCAACTTATGGTGGTGGTGGTGGTGGTGGTGGTGGAAGACAAGCCCATCACCCTGGGCCTCCCTCCCTTGCGTCCTCTCCGCGGCACTCTGCAAGCATACTTCTACCAAATCGTGTGCGCCGGCCACGGAAAAGCGACGCGCACGCTCGGACACCTCAGAGCATACGCTCCGTGGTACACGCTCTCTGGCCATACCGCTCGGAAGACGGTGTGCTGCAAGATTTTGCGTCATGCTCTGTCCGGGGCCGACGTGCGCCACCGAGAGGGGCACGTCGTGTCAGTGTGGGTCCTTGCGCGTCCCCTCTCCCCTCCCTCCCCTACCCTCTCCCTCCCTTCCTCCTCCTCCTCCTGTTCCTCCTGTTCCTCCTCCCTCCCTCCTCCTCCCTCCCTCCCTCCCTCCCTTCCTCCTCCTCCTCCTCCTCCTCCTCCTCCTCCTCCTCTTCTGCTCGTCCTCCTCCTCCTCCTCCTCCCTCCCCTCCCTCCTCCTCCTCCTCGTCCTTCTCCTCCTCCTCCTCCTCCTCCTCCTCCTCCTCCTCCTCCTCCTCCTCCTCCTCCCTCCGCTCTCGCCGAGCGCGCCGCCCGCTCGTCCTCGCCCCCTGGCGCTGCTGTCAAGGCCCAGGCTTTGTGTTAAGTCGGGCGTGTCCCTCTACAATGAGGAAACTTAAAGAACAACAGTATACAAATAGGTAGGGGACGATTTTATTGTTTCTTTTGGGGGGCATTTTCGAATATTTCCCAACCATCCTGTGGTGTTGGGTCCTCGTTTTGAAGAGACAGCGCCCCGCGTCCCACCTCCTCTCCTCCTCCTCCCCCTCCTCGCTCTCCTCCCTCCTCCCCCTCCTTGCCTCTGCTCTCGGCACACCCCACGTTTCGTAGCCCCATGGGGAGCTCCACCGAAGGTCCCAGTGGCACAGCCCGCATGCGGTTCCCCCACCCAGGGCAGCGTTTCGTAGCCCCATAGGGAGCTCCACCGAAGGTCCCAGTGGCACAGCCCGCATGCGGTTCCCCCACCCAGGACAGCGTTTCGGGCCCCATAGGGAGCTCCACCGAAGGTCCCAGTGGCACAGCCCGCATGCGGTTCCCCCACCCAGGGCAGCGTTTCGTGGCCCCATAGGGAGCTCCACCGAAGGTCCCAGTGGCACAGCCCGCATGCGGTTCCCCCACCCAGGGCAGCGTTTCGTGGCCCCATAGGGAGCTCCACCGAAGGTCCCAGTGGCACAGCCCGCATGCGGTTCCCCCACCCAGGGCAGCGTTTCGTAGCCCCATAGGGAGCTCCACCGAAGGCCCCAGTGGGGGTGCCCGCATGCGGTTCCCCCACCCAGGGCAGCGTTTCGTGGCCCCATAGGGAGCTCCACCGAAGGCCCCAGTGGGGGTGTTCGCATGCGGTTCCCCCACCCAGGGCAGCGTTTCGTAGCCCCATAGGGAGCTCCACCGAAGGCCCCAGTGGGGGTGTTCGCATGCGGTTCCCCCACCCAGGGCACCGCGTTTCGTTTCCCATTTCGTGCCCCATAGGGAGCTCCACCGAAGGTCCCAGTGGCACAGCCCGCATGCGGTTCCCCCACCCACAGCGTTTCGTGGCCCCATAGGGAGCTCCACCGAAGGTCCCAGTGGCACAGCCCGCATGCGGTTCCCCCACCCAGGGCAGCGTTTCGTGCCCCATAGGGAGCTCCACCTAAGGCCCCAGTCGCGCAGTTCGCATGCGCCCCCCCTCCCCCCCCACCCAGGGCAGCGTTTCGTGGCCCCATAGGTAGCTCCCCCGAAGGTCCCAGTGGCGCAGTTCGCATGAGTCCAGTACTGCGTTTCGTGGCCCCATAGGGAGCTCCACCGAAGGTCCCAGTGGCGCAGTTCGCATGCGTCCTCCCCACACCCAGTACAGCGTTTCGTGGCCCCATAGAGAGCTCCACCGAAGGTCCCAGTGGCGCAGTTCGCATGCGTCCCCCCCCCACCCAGTACAGCGCTTCGTGGCCCCATAGGGGGCTTCCCCGAATGCGATACCCACAACTGCATATGGTTGGGTCTTTCGCCAGGCTAATTTTGGACGATTTTTGATGTTTCCCTCCAAAGTCCGCCCGTAGGGGGACATGCCCGACCTGAGCTTTGTCCTCGAGGGCAGGTCGTCTCCGAAGGCTCGCGGCAGCGGCGCGCAGCAGCGGCGCGAGGCGGCCTGCGAGCGCGCGCCCCGCGGGGCTCCCCCACGGGGGCCCCGCGGGGTGTCCCCCGAGTGGCGCGAGCATCTGGGGGCATCTTTCTGGGCCAGGGACATGTCGGGCAACAAGGGGGGGGGGGGCAAAAGGCTCCGATAGTGATCTTTCTCTTCTTCACTGTTTTGCCGATCGGCGCGGGCCCTCGCCCCCTCCTCTCCCCCAGGGAGTAGACCTTTGCTGTTTTTGGCGCCTGTCTCAAGCAGGTGGAGTCTCCCCCATGGACTGCGCTGTTGCAAACAGTCTCATTAAGCAGAGGTCAGGAGATAGACCCCCCCCAGCCCCTCCCCCCTTCTACCCCGTGTCGAAACGCGGAACAAGAAAGCGTTCACACACCGATGCTCCTTTGACCTCCCTCGGGGTGCGTTCTGACTAGAATTTCGCGAGACGGCTCCGGCCGTGGCGACGAGGGCCCTCCAGGAGGCCCGAAAAGGTGGAGTCGGGGAAGGGAAGCGGTAGATCAGTGTATACCTTTCCCTCCTGGGGCAACGGCTGGCGGCAGCGGTGCGCAGCAGCGGCGCGAGGCAGCCCGCGCGCGGCGCGCGCGCAGGCGACGGCGCTGGTGCAGGCCATCGCGGCGCGCAGGGCGCGGCCCTCGCAGAGCTGGGCGAGCATCGTGCCGGAGGGGTGCGGGGCCTCCCTCCGCTCAGGGGCGGCGGTAGAGTGAAGTCGTGCATGCCCCTCTGCATCAAGTGTGGTCAAAAAGCAGTATGGGGACGATTTTCATCAATCTTCTTGGGGTGAGGTTTGACCATTTGTTGACTCTTCTGTGTTGTTTTTCGTCCAAGATCCGCCCGTATGGGGACATGCCCGACCGAACGCTAGAGGGATAGGAGGCTCAGATGGGGACGCGTCGAGGTTCGAGGGGTTCGAGGTTTTTTGGCGTTTTCGTCGGGGATCTGCGGTCTTCCAGTCTCGGGGTGCTCTCCAGCGGCTGCGCCTCGCCAGGGGCGTTCCAGGGCTGGCCAGATCGTCCTGGACGGCCGCCAGAGGCCAGAGTTATGACCCGAAGGCCACCAGGGACAGGCTCTGAGGGGATGCATCGACCCCCCATCGCCCGTTCATCGCTGATAGGGGCCCGATAGCCTTTTCCCGCCCAGGAACCTTGCGGATCTGCTATCGGGGGCCTATCGCCTCTCTCTCTCTCGGCGATGCATCGCCGATTCCAGGTCGATGTTCCCCCCCTGAGCTGGCCCCCCCTTGTCCTTCCTTATCATTCGCGCCCTCTCTGGCGGAGACGGGGCGGCCCCCAAACGGTGTGTTAACCACACCGCGTGGTGAGTCCGCGGGGATTCGGAGTCACCCCAGGGTTTTGGGACTCGGGTCGTTCTCCGAGGTCCCAAGACCGTGCGGTGACGGACAGAGCGGTGAGGTCGCTGGGGATTCCGAGGTCACCACGCGGTCCGTTACTACACGTCATAGTAGGGCAGGCCTGAGACCTCGAATGGGCGTGCCCCAAGTTGGTTTTGTGCCCAGTCATCCCCCGTGTCGCGACGTGCAAGAGAAGCGCGTGAAGAGATTGTGAGGCCTGCGGCGGGGGACCTGCGGCGTGGGTTCGAGGATTCACGTCGTTGGGCTCGGGGCCTTTCCCCAATGCCCGATCGGGTTCACTGGCGCCTTTCCCGATGCGGCCGCCGTCGATCCATCTCAGGGAATCTTGTGCCCACAGACGCGGGTGCCACGGTGCCCAAGAATTCTTGTGCCGTGCTCAAAATGGTGCCTACAGTGGCGTCCCAAACAGTTTTTGGGTGGTGCTGTGCCCGAAATAGGTTCGGATGCGAGCATGTTCCGCGCCGTTTAGTGATGGGAAGAGACCGAATAGTGTTGCCTTTGTCAGTAGTGCGCTAAAGATGCAGCGCTGCCTGCTCCATGTCGCCGCGGCGCTCGAAATAATGATTCAACCTGCGTATAGTTAGTGCTAGAAGCGAGTGGTGCCTAGATCGCCCGCCAGCTTCTTTGCTTCGTTTCTACATTTTTCACTGCGGGAGCTAGGCGTCGAAGGCGCGCCTCGGGGTCAGCGGGCGGCCCGCGGATTTATTTTCTTCTCATCCTTGCATCTGGCGTCGACAATGACACCGCGATGTGTGGTGCGGCCCTGGCAGGCCGTGGACGTCAGGACGTCGGCATGGGAGATGGCGGCCAGGCCGGCGCGGAAGTCAAACGGGCTCGAATTCCGCGGTTCGATGAACACGACCCCGGAACCCGAAACAACCTCCAGGTAACAGAAACTGGCGTCACTCCGCTGGGCCCCAGGGATGGCAAGGCCTCCTGGTGGTCCGCGTGGGACGTCGCTCCGCTGCCCCCCCCAGCAACCTTCGAAAGTGGCTACAGTTTCGCAGATCGCAGCCCCCCAGGAATGGCGAGGTCTCCTGGTGGTCCGCGTAGAACGTGATTCCGCTGTACCTTCCCAGCAGCCCTCTCGAAAGTGGCAACAGTTTCACAGATCGCAGCCCCCCAGGGATGGCGAGGTCTCCTGGTGATCCGCGAAAGACGTCGTTCCGTTGCACCCCCCGGCAGCCCTCGAAAATGGCAACAGCTTCGCAAATTGCAGCCCCCAAGGGATATCGAGGTTTCTTGGTGGTCCGCGTAGGACTTCGTTCCGTTGCACCCCCCAGCAACCTTCGAAAGTGGCGGCAGTTTCGCAGATCGCAGCCCCCCAGGGATGGCGAGGTCTCCTGGTGGTCCGCGTAGAACGTGATTCCGCTGCACCGTCCCAGCAGCCTACGAAAGTGGCGACATTTTCGCAGATCCATACCCCAGGGATGGAGAGGTCTCCTGGTGATCCGCGCGAAATGTCACTTCGTTGCACCCCCCAGCAACCTTCAAAAATGGCAACAGCTTCGCAAATTGCAGGCCCCCCAGGGATGGCGAGGTCTCCTGGTGGTCCGCGTTGGATGTCGTTCCGCTGCAATCCCCAGCATATTTCGAAGGTGCCGGCAGTTTCGCAAATCGCAGCCCCCCAAGGGTGGCGAGGTCTCCTGGTGGTCCGCGTAGGACGTCAGTTTGCTGGACCCCCCAACAACCTTCGAATGTGGTGACAGCTTAGCAGGTCGCATCCCCACAGAGATGACCAGGTGGGAGGCAAACAGGAGGGATGAGAGGAAAAGGGGGCGGGAAAAGAAGGTGTGCGACCGCAGTGCTCTATTCAAAACGAGTACCCAACGCAGGAGGGTTGGGAACCAGCAGGCGGCACAAACATAATTTCTCGGAGGTCCGCGCGGTTTCCTTGGATCGGCGCTGGGCCCTCCTTTGGGCGGCGCCTCCAGGCCCGCTCCTGGCGCGTTTCGCGCGCCAGGGAAGGGGTCAGCGCAGATCCAAGATATTCGCGCGGAGCTCGGAGAATTTATATTCATGCAGCTTTTTGCTTCTGTACTTCACGCCCTTCTGGCCAGTATGGGAGCGCGTTGTTTACCGATCTCGGACCCAAGACGGGTTCGGCCAGGGTTCGGTGTGGGTGTGTAGCTGGCGTCCTCCCAGGCTGTCCTTGTGTCTGGTGAAGGTGGCGTGGATTGCGTGAAGGTCGGTCTCGGCGTGAATGCCCGTTCGGAACGGTTCATTTGGTGGGCGGCAGGGGGATGCGTGCCTTGCATCATTTCGGAAGACGCTCATGCTGGCGCTGGTCTTAGTCGTCGTGCTTCTCGCTTCCCATTCCTCTGATGCTTCCGCCTCCTCCTCATCCTGGCCACCCGCCTTTGTCCTCGTCATCATCCTGCCGTTCGTCGATGCCGTTGTCGTGTTCGTCTTTGTCAACGCCTCTGCCGTCGTCCTCGTTCTCGTCCGTCACGCGCTGCAGCGTTCAGCAAGCGTGCCCACATGCTGCAGCGTTCGCCCGACAAGAGGCAGGATGGCGGTGTCGGCGGCCTCGGCGCCGTCGTCGGCATCGGCCGCGTCGGCTCGGCGTCGCTGCCGCCGCGGGGCGGTCACTGGGCCCTCCCCCCGACGCAAGCGCTGGAGGAGGAGGAGGAGGAAGAGTAGGAGGCGGAGGAGAAGGGGGAGGAGGAGGACGAGGAGTAGGATGACGATGATGACGACGAAGAGAATGATGAGGAGGATGAGTGTGACGATGTTGATGTTGATGTTAATGTTGTTGATGATGATGCTGATGATGATGATGGTGGTGGTGGTGTTGGTGGTGATGGTGATGATGACGATCATGATGGTGATGATGTTGACGATGATAATGACGACGATGACGGCGATGACGATGACGATGACGATGGCAACGACGATGATGATGACGATGATGATGATGGTGATGCTGTTGATGATGATGGTGATGGTGATGATGCTGCTGATGATGATGTTGGCGCTGATGGTGATGATGATGAGAACGATGATGCTGCTGCTGCTGATGATGATGATGCTGATGACGGCGACGACGACGATGAGGTGGAGGAGGAAGAGGGGGAGGATGATGATGACACAGATAATGATGATGATGAAAATGCTGATGCTGCTGCTGATGATGATGCTGATGATGATGCTGGTGATGATGATGATGATGATGATGATGATGATGATGCTCGTGGTGATGATGATGATGATGATGATGATGATGATGATGATGATGAGGATGATGATGATGATGATGATGATGATGACGATGATGATGATGATGATGATGATGATGATGATGATGATGATGATGATGATGATCCTGATGATCATGGTGCATCTGATGATGAGGAGGATGGCACTGCTGATGATGATGGCGATGCTGGTACTGACGACGACGATACTGATGATGCTGATGATGCTTATGCTTATGCTGACGGTGATGATGATGGTGATGCTAAAAATGATGATGGTAATGATGCTGCTGCTTCTGCTGATGTTGCTTCTGACAATGACGACGACGACTACGATGACGACATCGACGATGATACTTATGATGATTATGATATTGCTGGTGATGATGATGCTGACGATGACGATGCTGATGATGATGATGATGATGATGATGATGATGATGATGATGATGATGATGATGATGATGATGATGATGATGCTTATGCTTATGGTAGGCCCACAAACTCGTTTGCTTGGCAGGCACAAACGCGCGCGCGATAGCGAACGGGAGCGCGGGGTGTCGGCGACCATGTCCGCCGACGAGCGCGACGCCGCGCAGGAGCGGCCTGCGAGGAGGGGCCGCGCGCCGCGCCGCGCGGCGCTGCCAGCGCAGGCTGTTTGTTCGCTTGGCCGCCGCTGGGATCCCGAGTCGCGGCGGCTCTGCGCGCGCGCGGCGCGCGCGCCGCGCAGGTTCCTTTCCTTGCTGCCAGCCATCGGCGCTGGCAGCTGGGGGTGCGGCGTTTTCTCCGCCGCCTGCTTGCTTTGCGCGTGCGCGCCGGCGGGCCGTCGCGCGCCTCCGACTGCTTGCTCCGCGCGCGCGCGCTTTCGCTGGCGGTCGCCGCGCCGCGCCTCCCTTCCCTGCAGGTTCCGATTTCCCCCTCCGCTCCTTCTTCCGCGCTCGCCGCCGTCCTCGCTCGCTGCCCTCTCCTTCGCGCGCAGGTTCCTTCCCCGCTCCATCCCCCCAGGCGAAGATGATTTCTACATAGGCGACCTCAACGAGCTCACCTCGTCGGTTTTGCTAGCTCGAAATCAATCCACATTTCTCCGCCGAGTAATGGCGGCTTCGCCGGCTCCGTCCTGCGCGGGGGACGTCGGGCCTTCTTGGTGCCCGATGCTCCCGCCAGGGCGGGTGCCGAACGTTCGGGGGGTCCGCGGAGCGTGCGGGCGCAGCTCGCCTGTCGGGTAATGGTGCAACGCTCGTGCCGAGCGTACGCGTAAAGAGCGACCGGCGGGGCCCGCTGGCAACTGTGCCACCTCGCAAAGGGCCAGTTAATGCCCGCTGGCCAACTGGGGCCCCATGGCAACTGCGCCACTTCGCAAAAGGGCTAATTAGCGCCCGCTGGCCAACTGGGGCCCTTTGGCAACTGTGCCACCTCGCAAAGGGCTAATTAGTGCCCGCTGGCCAACTGGGGCCCATTGGCAATTGCGCCACTTCGCAAAGGGCTAATTAGTGCCCGCTGGCCAACTAGGGCCCGCTGGCAACCGTGCCGTTCGCAAAAGGGCTAATTTGTGCCCGTCGGCCCAATTGGGGCCCATTGGCAATTGCGCCACTCGCAAAGGGCTAATTAGTGCCCGCTGGCCAGCTGGGGCCCACCGGCAACTGTGCCACTCGCAAAGCGTAATTGGTGCCCGCTGGCCAACGGGGGCCCACTGGCAACTGCGCCATTCGCAAAGGGCTAATTAGTGCCCGCTGGCCAACTAGGGCCCGCTGGCAACTGTTCCACTTCGCAGAGGGCTAATTTGTGCCCGCTGGCCAACTGGGGCCCACTGGCAACTGCGCCATTCGCAAAGGGCTAATTAATGCCCGCTGGCCAACTGGGGCCCACTGGCAATTGTGCCATTTCGCAGAGGGCTAATTTGTGCCCGCTGGCCACTTGGGCCCCTTGGCAACGGGGCCACCTCGCAAAAGGGCTAAGTCGTGCCCGCTGGCCAACTTGGGCCCACTGCCAATCGTGCCACTTTCAGGGCCTAACTGTGGCCGCTGACTGCGCCATTCGCAAAGGGCTCCTGTCGGGTAATGGTGCAACGCTCGAGCCGAGCGTGCGCGTAAAGAGCGACCAGCGGGGCCCGCTGGCAACTGTGCCACCTCGCAAAGGGCCAGTTAATGCCCGCTGGCCAACTGGGGCCCAATGGCACAACTGCGCCACTTCGCAAAAGGGCTAATCAGCGCCCGCTGGCCAACTGGGGCCCTTTGGCAACTGTGCCACCTCGCAAAGGGCTAATTAGTGCCCGCTGGCCAACTGGGGCCCATTGGCAATTGCGCCACTTCGCAAAAGGCTAATTAGTGCCCGCTGGCCAACTAGGGCCCACTGGCAACCGTGCCGTTCGCAAAAGGGCTAATTAGTGCCCGTCGGCCAATTGGGGCCCATTGGCAATTGCGCCACTCGCAAAGGGCTAATTAGTGCCCGCTCGCCAGCTGGGGCCCACTGGCAACTGTGCCATTCGCAAAGCGTAATTTGTGCCCGCTGGCCAACAGGGGCCCACTGGCAACTGCGCCACTTCGCAAAAGGGCTAATCAGCGCCCGCTGGCCAACTGGGGCCCACTGGCAACTGTTCCACTTCGCAGAAGGCTAATTAGTGCCCGCTGGCCAACTGGGGCCCACTGGCAACTGCGCCGTTCGCAAAGGGCTAATTAATGCCCGCTGGCCAACTGGGGCCCACTGGCAATTGTGCCATTTCGCAGAGGGCTAATTTGTGCCCGCTGGCCACTTGGGCCCCTTGGCAACGGGGCCACCTCGCAAAAGGGCTAAGTCGTGCCCGCTGGCCAACTTGGGCCCGCTGCCAATCGTGCCACTCTCTGGGCCTAACTGTGGCCGCTGGCCAATTGGGGCCCACTGGCAATTGTGCCACCCCCCCTGGGGCTGGCTGGGCCCACTGCACTCACTCGGCGGCGGTGTCAGGACGCCTTCTGGCCGTCTGGGCCCATGGGCAACCGCGCCACCGCAACGGCCGACTGGGCCTCCTGGCAACTGTGCCATCTGCACCATCGTAGCGGCCGACGGGTCCGCGGGCAAAATGCCATTATTGCTTTTGCAATTGCCTCTGCGCTCGTTCGTGCCCGTACGTGCTCGGCGCGCGCGCGCCCGCGCGGGCGCTGCGTTGCTCCGCCGCATTTGAAGCGCGCCAGTGCAGCAGCAGGGGCGGTCGCGACAGGGGGCGACGCGATTCGGGCGCGCTGACAATGGCGGAGGAGTTGCGCTTGTTTCTGACTGCTGAGGCGCCTGCTCCGCAGGGCTGCCCAGACAAGGAAGCGTTCCTCAATGACCTCGTGGCGATTCTTGGCCGCGCCGAGGCGAGCCCGCCCTCGCGTCCTGCCGCGCGGGTCGGCGGCGCGCGCGCGGCCGTGGCAGGCGTGGGCCCCCCGCGCGCTCGCATCCGTCGCACTTGGCGAGCTTGATCCGCGCCCCAGCGCAGGGAAGAGGCACGCTCTCGCTGGCGCCATCGAGGCCGCGGCGCGCTTTCGCCCCAGTGGCGCCGCGACGCCGCGCGGCGAGTCCTGCGCAGGTCGCAAAGAAGCGCTTTGCCCCGCTGGCGCACGAGGGCAGGGCGCCGGGCGGCGCGGGCCCCCGCTAATGGGGGCGACGCGATAGGCGAACTTTCCCGCCTGCTCGAGAGAGAGGAAGCCCCAGTCGTCCACGTGGACGTGGGGCAACGGCTGAAAGAGATCAAGCTCGACGATCTCCCGCCGGCATTGTGGCCCAGGCGAGTCCGCGGAACCCGCTTGCTGGATCGGACGCGACGTCTGCGCGGCGGTGTCAGGAGCGCGCGCGTCGACGCCCTTGCGGGCGAGGTCGCGAAGCTGAAGAAGAAAGGGGTGGCCAACCCTTTCGTGTGCGCGGACTTGCGCGATTGGTCGCCGTTGGACGCGCCCCCCGCCGCCGGCGCCAACGCGCTGACATGGAACGAGTGGCGCATGGCCATCGATGCGTACCCCGCGCGCGTTCGGCGCAGTGTGCTTCGCAACGCCGCCTTTCGGCTTCCTGCGAGTTACGCAATTGGTGCAGCCGTGGCAGACCAACTGGCGTACGTGTCCGCCATGGCCCACAAGCAAATTTGCATGAGGGCGCCCCCGCGCGCGCCATCGGTGCCACGCTGTCGCGCGCCGCTTCGTCCGCGCAGGTGGCCACGAACGCGCGCCTGGGCGGCCGGAAAGCCCATTTGGGCATGCTCTACGACGAGAGCTGCCGCAAGGACTGGGCCGAGAAAGCAGCCGCGGGAGTGCCGGACTTCGCGGCGCGCGCCTTTCTCGCGCGCGCGCGGCGAGGGGCCCGCGGCCCGTTGCCCGCGCCGCCAGGTAGACGTGGAGGCGCGGAAGGTTTGCCGCGAGCTGCTGACCGTGGCCGAGCAGGCGTACGACCGCGCCGAAAGGCCCGCCCGCGGCGACGCGCCCACGCGATTGTTCGCCGCGCGCGCCGACAGGTCGGCGAAGCCCGCGAGCAAGCCCTCGAAGAGCGGCGGCGGCGCGCCCCCCCGGCGGGCCAAGGGCGCGGACGGCGCGTGGACCGCCGTGGGCAGCAGCGGGAGCCGCGGCGAGACGTCGTGGGGGAAGCGCCCGGCGGAGAGCGGATGGGGCAACGCCAAGTGGAAACGCTCGCGCTGGTGAGAATGGTGCGCCACCGCAGGCGCCGCCGCCCGTTCGCCCGTGACAGCCTGGGCTTCGGGCCGCGGGGAAGCGGGCCGCTTCGGGCCGCCCGCTCGCCAAGACGAGCCCGCCGGGACCTAGCGCGGGCGCGTTTGTGCTTCACGTCGAACAATTGTGGCCGGCGCGTGCTCTCGTTTCCCGCGCCGGCGCGTGCTCTTGCATCTCGCGCGCAATTCAGTGCCAGCTCGTGACGCGCGACGCCTCGCAGCGTTCTGAGATGACGCGTCTCTCGAAACGCGCCCGCGCCGGCGCGGGCGACGCCGGCGGCTGGGCCAAGAGGGCGCGCGCAAGCGCCGGCGATGAGGCCAAGCTGCGTTTCATGCAGTCAGTTCTTGACTTGGGCCGCGAGGGCTTCGCGCGCGAGTCCTCGATCGGGGAAGACGTGCGCGCGGCCGCCGAGTGGGCCGCGTCCGCGCCCGCCGAGGAGGCGCGGCCCCCCCCCCACCACCCCTCTCGCGCACGGCTGGCGCGCGCACGCGCGCGCGCTCCGCGTCGTGCAGGTCATTGCTCATCGGGGGGCGGCCGCGAGACGCATCGAAAAGATGGGCGCTCAGCTCCGGGCCTCTTGCGAATGTGCGCGGTGGTTCAGCGGCTGCGACCCCGCAGTCGCGCGGGTGTCCGAGTCCGTGAACGGCCCGCTGCTGCGCGTGTTAGCGCGCGAATGCGACCATCCAGATGCCGAGGTGGTCGAATTTTTCCGTCAGGCGAGCTCGCGTTTGCCCCGCCTCGGCGAACCGCGCGGCCGCGGCAGGGCGCCCCCCTGATCGGGGTTCTCCCTCGCTCGGGAGTGGGCGAGCCGCGCGACCACAAGCGCTGCATCTCGGCAGACGAGCTCAGGGCAGGCCCCCCCGAAGCGCGCCGTGCGGAGCTGACCCGCCGATGTGTCGAAGCGTCGCAGGCGCCAAGACGTCTGCTGACAAAGTTCTGAAGCGCGCGAGACGTGATCTGCATTCCGACGCGCTTCTCGCGACCGCGCGTTCGGACGCCGCGCTGGGGCGACTGACAGTGCCGCGCGACGCGGCGGCCGAGCCGCCGCCAGACGGGGCCGTCGTCATCCCGCGGTTCGGCGTCCCGCAGGGTATCAAGGAGGACGGCTCGCCCAAGGCGCGCCGACCTTGGCGCCGGCGCCCCAGTCGCCGCCCTTCGCGCGGCAGGTGCGTTCGGTGGACGATTGCAGCGCCGCCGACCTCAACAGAGCGACCCAGCCCCAGGCCGCAGGGCACGCGCCGCCAGAGGTGCAGGCCGGCGCGTCGCCGCGCGCAGGAGAAGTGGCGGCGCGACACCATAGATTCGCCGTACGACGTTGCTCAGACGGTGCACGAGGCATCGGGCGGCGAAGATGTCCTCCTGTTCAAGGCAGACATCGACGCGGCTTTTCGCCGCGTGCCGCTGTGCCCACGGGACCGCGACTTCGCGTGGGTCGCGTTCCGCCACGGCGATACAGTGCTCATCGCGCAGCACACGGCTCTTCCTTTCGGCGCAGGTGGGCGCGCGACCCGCGCGCGCCGTCGCGGGGCCCTCTCGCCTTGCCAGTGAGCAGCGTGCACCACTGGGAACGGGTCGGCGCGTTGATCACCCGCATCTGCCGCAAGCTGCTGCGGGTTGCGTTACTGCGATACGTGGACGATTTGTTTAGCGTCGAACGGGCGTCGCTGGCGCCGCCCGCGCCGTCGCGCGCGACGGCGGCCGCGCTGAGCCGGCGTGTCCGCGCGCAGGCAAGGCACGCGCTGCAATGCGTGGTCCGCGTGGTCCGCGCTCTGCTCGGCGACGCGGCCATCGCGGACCGTGAGACAGAGTGCGGGCGCCCTCTTGTTATCCTGGGCTTGCAGATCGAGGCGCCCGCCAAGCGTGCGCGCGCGCGTCTGTGGCGCGCGCCTTGGGCCGCGCGGCCAGGTCGATCGCTGGGGCTTCCGCGCTCGTCCATCCGCGGACAAGCGTGCCAAGTGGCTCGAGCGGGTCCGCGCCGCCTTGGCAGCGGAGGAGCTGACCGCCGGGGCGGCGTCCAAGCTGGCGGGCGCGCTCTCCTGGGGTGCATCGCATCAGTTCCGCCGGTTGGGGCGCGCGATGCTGCGACCGCTGTTCGCGCACGCGCACGGCCGCTCGGCAAAGCTGTCCGCGGACGCGATGTGCTGCCTGCGCTGGTGGGCGGAAGTCCTGGCCCATGATATAGTGGAAACCAGGGCTTGGGCCGGCGGCGACGAGCGACCGCCTGTCGTCATTCTCGCGGACGCGCGCGGCGCGCCGCCGAATCTTGCGGCCGTGGTTTGCATCGACGGGCGCGTCGAGTATACGGCGTGGGAACCGCCGGGGCCTCTATTACGGCGGGGCAGCATCGCTTCACGTGCCCGTGCCCGCCCTGGCGCATCGCCTGCCAGCGCGCGCGAGGCAATTCCGCGAACGGCGGGACACCCAGATTGTCGGGCTGGAAATGCTCGCAGTTGGGCTGGCAATGTGCACGTGGGGCAACAGGATCCGCGGCCGCGACGTCCGCATCTACAGTGACAACACGGTCGCTGAGTGCGCCTTCCGACGTGGCTCGGCGGCCGCGCCAGATCATTGCGCGATCGTTCACGCGTTCTGGGCGACCGCGTGCGCAATGCACTTGTCGGTGCTGGTGGACCGAGTCGCTACGGGCGCCTGCTCGCGCCGCCGCGCACCGCCGTCGACACGCGCGCTCTGCGCGTGCGCGAAGACGATAACATTGCCGATCTGCCCAGCCGCGAGGAGTATCGTTTACTCGACGATTTGGGTGCCACGTGGCGCTGGCCGACGCTGTGGCCGCAGTTCCAGCGGCTCCAGCTGCCAGGGTAGCTCGCGTAGCGGGCAGCGTGCGCGCGCGGCGCGGGCATTGCCGCGCGCGCGACCACCGGCTCGGCGGATTTCCGCACGCTCTGACCCGGAGCGGGCGTGCAGCGGGATGCGCGCACCCGCTGCAGCTCGGCGGTTAGTGCACCCCGCGCGCTTAAGCGGTCGCGAGGCCAATGTCCGCCGCTCCCTGCTTGCTTGACGAAGTCGCGCAATGGTGCCGCGGGAGCGCGGCCGCGGCCGCGGAGGAGGTCGCGGCGTGCATGCGGCAGCCACTTGCCCAGTGCACGCCCTCGGGGCCTTCCTCGACCGCGCGCCGGCGGGCACCGCGCCGTTTGCGCACCTGTCGTGCGGGTGCGTTCTCAGCTTGGTGCGGCGGCTCGCCCATGAGGCCGGCGAGCGCGACTCTGCGCAATTTTGCACGAAGTCCTTCCGGCGTGGCCACGCGGAGACTTTACGCCGCAGCGGTGGCAGGCTCGCAGAGATTCTCCGTGCGGGCTGCTGGCGCTCGGGCGCGTTCCTCGACTATATGGATCGAGAAGAGCTCGAGGGCGACGCCATGCTGGAGGCGCTGCAGGCAGGCCAAGCACCCGCGCACGTGCCGGGATAGCTCTCGCGTCAGGGGAGCGCGCGCGCCAGCGGTGGCTGGCTCGGCATTGGGTCTCGCGCCCCCTCCCCTGGCGGCTCCCTGGCTACCGTCGGCATTGAGGTCATCGGCACCCAGGTGGCCCTGCCAGGGGGTGGGCGCCGCGCCCTGGGCGGCGAGTGCGCAGACCCACGGGCGCGGCCCGCCCCCTGGGGGCGCCGCGCCCAGCGATGGGGTGCTGGCGGCCTCGCAGGGGCGGTCGCGACAGGTGCGCGCGCTGCGTTTGTGGTAGGCCCACAAACTCGTTTGCTTGGCAGGCGCAAACGCGCGCGCGATAGCGAACGGGAGCGCGGGGTGTCGGCGGCCATGTCCGCCGACGAGCGCGACGCCGCGCAGGGGCGGCCTGCGAGGAGGGGCCGCGCGCCGCGCCGCGCGGCGCTGCCGGCGCTGGCTGTTTGTTCGCTTGGCCGCCGCTGGGGTCCCGCGTCGCGGCGGCTCTGCGCGCGCGCGGCGCGCGCGCCGCGCAGGTTCCTTTCCTTGCTGCCAGCCATCGGCGCTGGCAGCTGGGGGTGCGGCGTTTTCTCCCACCCTCGACCGCCCCTGGGGGTCGTCGGCGCCCAGGTGACCCTGCCGGGGGGTGGGCGCCGCGCCCTGGGCGGCGAGTGCGCAGACCCACGGGCGCGGCCCGCCCCCTGGGGGCGCCGCGCCCAGCGATGGGGTGCTGGCGGCCTCGCAGGGGCGGTCGCGACAGGTGCGCGCGCTGCGTTTGTGCTGACGGTGATGATGATGGTGATGCTAAGAATGATGATGGTCATGGCGCTGCTGCTTCTGCTGATGTTGCTTCTGACGGTGACGACGACGACTACGATGGCGACATCGACGATGATACTTATGATGATTAGGATGTTGCTGGTGATGATGATGCTGACGATGACGATGCTGATGATGATGATGAGGATGAGGAGGATGATGCAACTGATGATGATGCTGATGCCCATGGCGATGCTGCAGCTGATGCTGATGTTGATGACGACGGAGATGAGGTGGATATCGATGACGTTGATACTACTGATGAATTTGCCGATGCTGATGCTGTTGTGGATGCTGATGGGGATGGGATGCTGATGATTATGATGCTGTTGAGGATGATGATGCTGCTGATGATGACGATGATGATGATGCTGATGGGCGATGCTGCTGCTGATGTTGCTCTTGACGACGATGATGCTGATGACGACGATGATGCTCTGATTGTGAAGAGGATGCAGCTTCTGGTGGTACGTATGCAGCTGATGCTGATGATGATGATGATCCTGATGTTTGGGATGCTGATGATGCTGATGATGATGATGACGAGGATGCTGCTGCTGATGATGATGGTGATGATGCGTGTGGTGATGCTTACGATGATGGTGCTTGTGATGCTGATAGTGACGATGATGCTGATGATGCTGATGATGATGATGATGCTGACGGCGACGACGGTGATGACAATGATGATGCTGATGACGATGATGCTGATGATGATGATGATGATCACGATGATGATAATGGCGATGCCGATTATGACTATGTGGATTTGGACCGTGATGCTGATGATGAGGATGATTATGCTGACGATGTTTAGGTTGACGACGATGATGACGATGCTGCTGATGCTGACGACGACGATGATGCTGCTGCTGATGATGATGATGGTGACGATGGTGAACATGATGATGGTGATGATGATGATGATGATGATGATGATGATGCGGATGATGATCCTGCTGCTGTTGATGGTAATGGTGGCGATGATGGAGGGCGATGGACGGTTATGCTGCTGCTATTGCTGATGATGACGATGATGCAGTTGCTGCTGCTGATGGGTATGATTATGATCAGGAGGAGGAGGAGGAGGAGGAGGAGGAGGAGGAGGAGGAGGAACAAGAAAAAGAAAAAGAGGAGGAGGATAACAAGTGCAAAGCCAAGACTCATGAACGATGTCGGAGTAAACCCTTCCTTCAGGCTGCCTTTCCATAGCCCTCACACGGATTCGTTTCCACTGAGGGAAGTGTCCCGTTGGGAGACAACCGTTTGAAGATCCTGAAACGTGCCAAAACACCATTCTCGGGTCTCCAACGCCACAAATCAACCCGACTGTTGCGTTTTGACGATCCAGAAACGTGCCAGAACACCGTTCCTGGGACTTACGATCTCGAATCAACATAGTTGTTGCGCCATGACAACCGTGAGTCGCTCCAAAATGCCATTTCTGGTACGTTCACTATGGGAACCCTTGGAACCGTGGCAAACTTCAAGACGAATATGCGCGGCGCAAAGGCGAGAGCCACATGTTGAACACGACTCGCCCTCAATCCGTGAAACTTTTGCAACTTTTAAATCGAATGTGCACGGCGCTAAGGCGAGAGCCACATTTTGAAAACCACCCGCCCTCAACCCGTGAAGCTCTTGCAAGTTTGTAAGACGAATGTGCACGGCGCTGTGGCGAGAGCCATCGATTTTTGAAAACCACCCGCCCTCCATGAGTGGAACTGCTGCCAACTTCTAAGCTTCAGGATCATACATGGCAAAGAAGTCTCAGGCGAAACGCCCAGCCTGCCCCTCCGACTGGCCTCGGGGTTAGGAGGAGGATGAGGAGGAGGATGAGGATGAGGAGGAGGAGGAGGAGGAGGAGGAGGAGGAGGAGGAGGAGGAGGAGGAGGAGGAGGAGGAGGAGGAGGAGGAGGAGGACCAGGAGAAGCAGGAGGAGGAGGAGGAGGAGGAGGAAGAGGAGGAGGCGGAGGCGGAGGCGGAGGCGGAGGGGGAGGCGGAGCAGCAGTGGCTGGAGGAGGACGTGCAGGAGGACATGCAGGAGGACGTGCAGGACTAGGGGGGCGAGGATCACGAGGAAAAGGAGTGGAGGAGGAGGAGGAGGCGGAGGCGGAGGAGGAGGCGGAGGCGGAGGAGGAGGCGGAGGAGGTGTCGGCGTCCCTGCCGCGGCGGCGGTGGGGCGCCAGGCCCCCGCGACCTACCCGGCGCTGCTGCCCGGCAACGCCTCGGCAGGCTGGCCGCCGCCCCCCGCCTCTGGTGCCCGCCGCCTCGCAGGGGCCTTCGCCGCCCCTCCCCCTTCTATCCACACCGGACAGGTAGGGGCCGTTAGGTTTTCTCTCAGATGGCAACAACATATGTACATGTACGCGGTTTGTTTCCGCCGAATTGCGTTTGAACGCGGAGGTTCGTGCACGCAAGACCGCGGAGGGCGTACATGTACACATGTCGTTGCTCGCTCATTCTCGGGTTTGGACAGACCTCCTACCCGGACGCGTCGAGTGAGGAATGGGCCGTCTTCGCTTCGCGAGAGGGCGTCGCGGCCGTTATCTTTGCGGGTCCAGGTCCGTCGGTTTCGGTCCCAGGCCGTTTTCACTAAGGGGATATTTACTAAAGGGAGGTTTGCCCACCGCCAATGTTAAGAGCAGACCTCCCGGCCACTCCCATCCTGCATACCGCGGCCGCCAGACCCCAAATTGTCCCGAGAGTCCCGGGTATCCCGTCTCGCGCCCTCGACAAACATGACAAAACACACCCTGCATACCGCGGCCGCCAGACCCAACGGTGTCCCGAGAGTCCCGGGTATCCCTTCCTCGCGCCCTCGACAAACACGACAGAACACAACATGGCGCAACATAACATGACACAACAGAGCAAGAGCATAACAGAGCATGGCAGAACATAACATACCAATACCATGACAAACTAGAGGGCACCAACATATATCAGAACATACCAGGGCAGAACATGACATGACATAACACGACATATCATAACATACTATAACAGAACTGATCGTAACTTACGACACATTGACATACCATACTATATCATGACACAGCACCATCGAAACATATCATACGACGATAGCAAATGATAGCGGCGAGCGCGCCATATCATAACATGTCACACCAGACTATAACATCACATAACACGAACTTGCCATACACGACATACTAGAGCAACGCCATGACAAAAAGATAATGCTATAACATCACATACTACATCATATCATAGCATTGTGGAACATAAGGCGATATAACACAACATACCATAGCACAACCAAGGAAAGCAAAAGACACCTTGACATAACGTCCCATATAATTGTACCTCATCTCAGAACATATCATAACACGGCAGTGTAGCATATCGCCAACTACTAGCATAACAGGTCATACTATATTGTGCTGTGCCGAGCCGTCCACAAACACAACATCACAAAGACGATATAGCACAACATAACACAATCTATCCGATCATAGCATCACACACTATGGCAGGACACTTCATACCATGGCACAGCATCACATGCCATATCACAACACGGGACCAGAGCATTGCGATATTTTAGCAGAGCAGATCATTACATAATGTATTGAGCCGAGCCGTCAACAGCATCACGGAGCAAGCATACTATAACATAATCTGCCAGCAGATCATGCAATGACATAGTACCGCAACGCAGATCATACCATAGCATCTCCAGCCACATGGTGACAGATATGAGCCAACGTGCACCCATGGGTGTCGGATACCCACGTGCCAGGATTGCTCCGCCCGGGGCCGCCGCGCGCACCGCGCATGCTCGGGGGAGCGAAGGAGACGAGGGCGAGGGAAAGGGGGGGGGGGCGAGGCGCATGATGAGGGAAGATGATGAAGAACAGGGCTAGGAGGAGGGAACGGAGGAGGAGGAGGGGGAGGAGGAGGAGGAGGAGGGGGAGGAACGAGGACGATGAGGAGGAACAGGAGGAGGAAGGAGAGGCCCGCCTCACCTCCTTTTTCCTCCTCCACCTCGTGCTTCGTCGTCCGTCTCCTCCTCGTGGTGCTGCTGTTTATCCTCTTCCTCTTACCGGAGGTTGATATGACCTCAGAACGAATTTTGCGGTAACGCAGAATTCGTTTTGAGTTAGGTTGTGTCCTCGTCAGGGGCCTTAGGGTGGCTAGAATTCGGAAAACATCAACTTTCGACCTGGCCCGGCCGCCGCGCTGGCCGACGCCGTCGGGATTTGCGCACATCTTTCCAGTAGGCGCGCGCACCGTTGGGACCAAACGCCGAAGGTTTCGGTGGGGATTGCTCGAAGCAAAATAATTCCCAACCATCCTGTGGTGTTGGGTCCTCGTTTTGAAGAGACAGCGCCCCGCGTCCACTCCTCCCGCTGCCCCTCCCCCTCCTCCTTGCGTTTCACCCACCCAGCACAGCGTTTCGTAGCCCCATAGGGAGCTCCACCGAAGGCCCCAGTGGGGGTGTTCGCATGCGGTTCCCCCACCCAGGGCAGCGTTTCGTGGCCCCATAGGGAGCTCCACCGAAGGCCCCAGTGGGGGTGTTCGCATGCGGTTCCCCCACCCAGGGCAGCGTTTCGTGGCCCCATAGGGAGAGCTTCCACCGGAAGGGCCCCAGTGGGGGTGTTCGCATGCGGTTCCCCCACCCAGGGCCAGCGTTTCGTGGCCCCATAGGGAGCTCCACCGAAGGCCCCAGTGGGGGTGTTCGCATGCGGTTCCCCCACCCAGGGCAGCGTTTCGCTGCCCCATAGGGAGCTCCACCGAAGGCCCCAGTGGGGGTGTTCGCATGCGGTTCCCCCACCCAGGGCAGCGTTTCGTAGCTCCATAGGGAGCTCCACCGAAGGCCCCAGTGGGGGTGTTCGCATGCGGTTCCCCCACCCAGGGCAGCGTTTCGTGGCCCCATAGGGAGCTCCACCGAAGGCCCCAGTGGGGTTGTTCGCATGCGGTTCCCCCACCCAGGGCAGCGTTTCGTAGCCCCATAGGGAGCTCCACCGAAGGCCCCAGTGGGGGTGTTCGCATGCGGTTCCCCAACCCAGGGCAGCGTTTCGTGGCCCCATCGGGAGCTCCACCGAAGGCCCCAGTGGGGGTGTTCGCATGCGGTTCCCCCACCCAGGGCAGCGTTTCGTAGCCCCATAGGGAGCTCCACCGAAGGCCCCAGTGGGGGTGTTCGCATGCGGTTCCCCCACCCAGGGCAGCGTTTCGTGGCCCATAGGGAGCTCCACCGCCAGTAAAGGCCCCAGTGGGGGTGTTTCGCAGGCGGTCCGCCACCCAGGGTGCAGCGTGGTCAGCGCTTCGTGGCCCCATAGGGAGCCCCACCGAAGGCACCAGTGGCTGCTCTTGCATGCGTTTCCCCCACCCAGGGCAGCGTTTCGTGGCCCCATAGGGAGCTCCACCGAAGGCCCCAGTGGGGGGGTTCGCATGCGGTTCCCCCACCCAGGGCAGCGTTTCGTAGCCCCATAGGGAGCTCCACCGAAGGCCCCAGTGGGGGTGTTCGCATGCGGTTCCCCCACCCAGGGCAGCGCTTCGTGGCCCCATAGGGACCTCCACCGAAGGCCCCAGTGGGGGTGTTCGCATGCGGTTCCCCCACCCAGGGCAGCGTTTCGTAGCCCCATAGGGAGCTCCACCGAAGGCCCCAGTGGGGGTGTTCGCATGCGGTTCCCCCACCAGGGCAGCGTTTCGTGGCCCCATAGGGAGCTCCACCGAAGGCCCCAGTGGGGGTGTTCGCATGCGGTTCCCCCACCCAGGGCAGCGGTTCGTAGCCCCATAGGGAGCTCCACCGAAGGCCCCAGTGGGGGTGTTCGCATGCGGTTCCCCCACCCAGGGCAGCGTTTCGTGGCCCCATAGGGAGCTCCACCGAAGGCCCCAGTGGGGGTGTTCGCATGCGGTTCCCCCACACAGGGCAGCGTTTCGTAGCCCCATAGGGAGCTCCACCGAAGGCCCCAGTGGGGGTGTTCGCATGCGGTTCCCCCCACCCAGGGCAGCGTTTCGTAGCCCCATAGGGAGCTCCACCGAAGGCCCCAGTGGGGGTGTTCGCATGCGGTTCCCCCACCCAGGGCAGCGTTTCGTGGCACCATAGGGAGCTCCACCGAAGGCCCCAGTGGGGGTGTTCGCATGCGGTTCCCCCACCCAGGGCAGCGTTTCGTAGCCCCATAGGGAGCTCCTCCGAAGGCCCGCCCCGGTGGCGCAGTCCGCATGCGGTTCCCCCATCCAAGGCAGCGCTTCGTGGCCCCTTATGGAGCCCCACCGAAAGCGGCACCCACAACGCGTTACCAACAATTGCTTATGGTTGGGTCTTTCGCCCAGCGGGATTAATTGTTTGTTTTCCCAACCCTCGTTGGTCGGGCATTCGTTTTGTCAAGAGGGACAGCGCCCCGCGTACCACCCCTCTCTCCTCCTCCTCCCCTCTTCGCCACCTCCCTCCTCCCCCTTCCTTGCATTCTGCTATCGGCACAACCCTCCACACGTTTCGTAGCCCCATAGAGGAGCTCACGAAGGTCTCAGTGGCACAGCCAGCATTGCGGTTCCCCCACCAGGGCACAGTTTTCGTAGCCCCATAGGGAGCTCCACCGAAGGTCCCAGTGGCACAGCCCACATGCGGTTCCCCCACCCAGGGCAACGCTTCGTAGCCCCATAGGGAGCTCCCCCGAAGGTCCCAGTGGCACAGCCCGCACGCGGTTCCCCTACCCAGGGCAGCGTTTCGTAGCCCCATAGGGAGCTCCACCGAAGGTCCCAGTGGCACAGCCCGCATGCGGTTCCCCCACCCAGGGCAGCGTTTCGTAGCCCCATAGGGAGCTCCACCGAAGTTCCCAGTGGCACAGCCCGCATGGGGTTCCCCCACCCAGGGCAGCGTTTCGTAGCCCCATAGGGAGCTCCACCGAAGGTCCCAGTGGCACAGCCCGCATGCGGTTCCCCCACCCAGGGCAGCGTTTCGTAGCCCCATAGGGAGCTCCACCGAAGGTCCCAGTGGCACAGCCAGCATGCGGTTCCCCCACCCAGGGCAGCGTTTCGTAGCCCCATAGGGAGCTCCACCGAAGGTCCCAGTGGCACAGCCCGCATGCGGTTCCCCCACCCAGGGCAGCGTTTCGTAGCCCCATAGGGAGCTCCACCGAAGGTCCCAGTGGCACAGCCCGCATGCGGTTCCCCCACCCAGGGCATCGTTTCGTGGCCCCATAGGGAGCTCCACCGAAGGTCCCAGTGGCACAGCCCGCATGCGGTTCCCCCACCCAGGGCAGCGTTTCGTAGCCCCATAGGGAGCTCCACCGAAGGTCC